ATAAATAAATAAGATATGCAACCGGCTATATCTGGTATTCTGATAGTATTGCGGTCAGAAACCACACGGCCTTGCTAACAGTCACAGTGAACTAGCGCCGAACCCGCATGGGCGAAAAACAAATTAAGCGGATAGCCATTACTTGCGTGAAAGTAGCATATGTTCAAGTACAAATGATTGTTTTTGCCACTAGATGAAATTGCAACTCGCGTGAGTGAATTATTGCGTTTTTGACTTCAAAACGCACCTAACCGTACACGAAGTAGTCGGTTACCGTCCACACCTTTAAGTGTCTGGTGGAGAAGGAAGACACTGTTCGGCTCACAAAATACTTTAATTTATATTCATTCTGTGCGGCTAGTGTAACATATGCGGCGGCTCTTTCAATGACAATTTCCATGTGTGTGTGTGTGTAGTATATAAATATATTTGTACGTTTAATTTTAGTCGGCGCTGTTCATTTCCTATTAGAATGGATGGAGAAAAGGGAATTATTAATTATATTAAATAAATCATTTCCATTGATTGGGCAAAATTAATTATTGTGAAAAAATATAGCTGCTGGCGACGTTACACGTTGCAAGAGAGCGCAAAGACTTCCCATCCAACTTTACGCAATGAGCTCATGCACTAATAGCTAGAAGAACATCCTATCACTAACATTGCGGAGTTTTGTCTACAATAGAATTCAGCATATTAAGTAATAAAAAAGTTTGCCTGGCGTGGCATTGCTAACACTTTCGCCAGAATACCTGCGGACGGAACTCGTGACTGTAATCAGGGGAGAAAGCTCTATCTCCTTGTTAAATACCTGGATTATTCACCGAGGTTGTCGCCGCCTCCTCAGAGCGCTGTCCGCGTTTTAGTGATTCACCCTCGCTCTGGGCAGGGCTGTGCGGTCGTGTGTACGGCGACCCGTTGGTTAGATTACTTTCTGAAGTGTTACAACGGAACACCACGTTTCTATTACATTAACTATAATAATTAAAAAGGAATATTATTCCATTAATTTAATATAATTCTACTTCGCACATTGAATCCAGATTATCCACGTTTTACGTTGTTAATTGTCTCCAATGTGAACACTACTTCCTGTTCCTTGGCGAAAGTAAGTGCGAATAAATAAAAAACGCATTCGGAAGTCGCTTTCTCGTAGCGCCCGAGAGTCGTACTAATTGACTGTTCGAATTTTTACCGCAGAATTATCAAGGTTGCACAGCATTTGAAAAGATAATAAATACGTATCAAGACGAACTTGTATACATCTTTCTTTGAAAAAGTATTAATTCTGCTTAGTTTTACAATCCCCCTATCGATTTGTGACCTGCTCTGATATGAAATGTCAAAAAACAAAAGATGGAGAAACCCTGGGGAAACAGTGTAAAACCAATATAAAAAACATTTCGAATTATATTTGGAGAAAATTAACGTACTTAAATAGCAAGTATACTTTGACTAGCCATAATTGCACGTAAAAATACATTAGACTACTATTTTAAGTTACTAAAGAGATCACAAATGCCGATCTTCATTTGTCAGTAAGATCAGCTAACAACAATATGGAATCGCATGATCTTTTCACGTACAAAACAGTATTAAAAAACATTGCCGCAAACAAGAGACTCTCAAATTCCTCGTATCCTTTTCTAACATATAACAAATGTCTTCAATTTCAGAAATTTTATTTGTCCTTGTTAAAAAACATTTTGATCACCATAACTCGCCCGAAAATGACATCGAACATTTCTTACTTCTATCATAGATTAAGGATGTGCATTTTGGATAATTAAGCAAATCAATAGTTTAGCTGTTTATGTTGAATAAGAATTTTATATCTAATTTACTTCTAAATATTAATACTTATCTGATCTACAAAATAATTTATATTTTGCTAAATCCTAACTATGAGATGAAAGGTGTTGTGGTACCGTATGTGAAAAAACATATCAAATTTCAAGTTTCTTCCTCTATATCAATTTACGTAAAACTTTAAGAACTTGTGCTAACAAATTGTCGATATAAATGAAAGTCTAAGTCTAGAATAAGTACAACTCACGGAGTCGTTTAAACCGGCATACTTCAGGCCGCTCCCATTAATTGGATTGTCGTGCTAGGCTTCGGCACTGTTTTTGGATCGGAGCTTTCTATAAAAAGTACAAAATTGTTTAATATATACGGTGGATAGACTCAAGGATGTTTAAAGTCCACGCGAGGGCGGCGGCCCGAGCCTCGCCGTGACTTGGCATCGCGGCGAGCGAAGCGAGAATAACGTGCTTTGAAAGTAAATTTTACAACGCGGGCGGGACAAAGATGATGAGAGGCGAGCATGAAACGCTCTACCCGATATGTTTATATTTCTTTCCATCAGAGCGCGTAGCGTAATTTAGAGGGATGATTTAGGAACCGTCCTCTGCCGCTTCTCTGCGGCATGCTACTCGTAATGCCTACTTTAATCAAAAATGGACTTGCCTACAATTGGTAAAGTAGTATAATATCATTGCATTAATATTACTTTTTGCAGCTTTGTCACCTACTTTAAATTATTACAGGCATTTAATGACAATACAATTAAATATAATCTAAATAATTCGCTATAATATTTCAATAAATACATAATAATTTAAACTAATTTAATACACCTAAATTATAATGAGTATAGGTGTAAAAGAATTTTCTAAATTAGTTCTGATTTTTTATCTAATTTATTGATTCTCAATTTACTGACGCACGTAGATACGCAATCGAGTCATGGCCTATTATCGCCTCTACACTTTTACTCTTGACTCTCTCAAAGCCGACCTCTTGAAAGCCTTCACACTTTCAAGCAATAATTTACAGAAAATCTGCGAGGATAGAAGATGGTCTTCTAAACACTGAAAGTTTGGTTCAACAAGATAGAACAACACAGCAGAACTTCTAACTGTCATCCAAGTAACCAAAGCATTTACACCACCACACGACTGAAAACAAATTTTCTGTTTTAGTTATTGACAATGATTTCCTTTGCTTTCCCAATCCTTACTACCCTCACGGTCATTAATTCGACACGTTCCCACAAACAAAACGCAACGATACCAAGAGAATCAAGCACAGAGCAGCATAGGAGTAGCGCAACTTGTCCACAAGGAAACATGGTAATCCAATGACCCCATCATAAAGGTACTGTATTTAAAGCAGATAGCTATGTGCTATACTAATCACTCCCTGACTACTTGTAACTCCAACTCAATTTCTCGTTTGTAACCTAAAGGAAGTGTTGCTGAGATGGCCAGTGAGTTGAACACCCACACAAAAACCACTCCACAAGCGATAACAATCATCCACCAAATGGAACGATGACATCATTTGGATAGTCATCTTTACACAAACATGTTGATCAATACAACGTGCCGCCAAGACAGGAACCTTATGTATCGACTTGCCCCTTCTGGTACAACAAACCAACTCCTTGCAAATGAATTTACTCGCTACACAACAATGTCAACTTGCATCTGAGAAGCACGTTTTAAATCATTGGGAGCTTAACATTTCTCTCGGAAAACACTTCACCGACAATGCTTCCACTCTGAACCTCGTCGGCAACATGCACTCGGTAGTGACCTTGCAAAACACTATCTTTCACAACCTCGCAGTGTCCTGCACAACACCCCATCCCCACCCACATCTCTAGTTCGATCAATTATTATTTACGTTATTTGTATTAATATTGTTGTTATTGTTATTATAATAATTACCAGTATTATAACAATTATATATTTGAATTTAGTGTGAAAAATTTTCCATTATGTTACGTTTTATAAATCATAAAGGCTTACTACATTTTACTAAGAGCAAATGTTTCCAATCTTACAAGAGATATAAGAGAAAATTTCATTCATCAATATTAAAATTTTGCATATAAGAAATTTTTTTCTAGTTTTTAGATATAAACAAATTCTTAAGAAATTAAAGATTAATTTAGAATTTTTGATATTGGAAATCCTAGATAATTTTAATACATGCAGGTGGTGAAATTGAAAAGGGTTTATTGGCAATGCAGTAATGTTAAATACAAGAAATTTCTGAAATTTATACCAAAAATCCGTAGCATCTTACCACACATTAAACTTCAAGTCTTAAACTGCAACGCAAATGGGTTTGAAATATGGTATGGTCGATAGAATGCTGCATTTTGTGCGAGAAGAGAACCATGAATGCAAGTGAAAACCAATAAATACACTAATCATATTAAACATCATCCTAGAAAATTTATTAATACGTTCATTCAAAGAAGGTTAAATTTCCACAAGATGTTTAATAATCAAACTATGTTTGATAATGATGACATCAGTAGACAATGCTTCTAATAATGATACGAATAACTTTATGTTTCTCTATGTTCCAAATATTACTAATAGATTCAATTGAAAATTCAAGGTTAGATATAACAACTTAAATAAAAAAATGTAAATTAATTTGTGAAGTATGTTTCACCATATAAGAAAAAGAAAATTGTTTACAGGATTGATTGTCAAAATTGTGATAATCGTTACATAGGATAAACCAAAAGAAATTAAAAACTAGAATCAAAGAACATGAAAGAAATATTAGGTAACCTTCCAATAGACAGAATTCGGCCACGACAAATAGAATAAAAGCGCGTCACAAATTGGACTTTGAAAATATTAGTATTGTTGATATTGCAACTAGAAATTTTACCCGAATAGCTTCTGAAACTTTATATATAAAATTATACAAAGGTATCAACTCAATGGTAGAACGTATCAATTTGACAAATGTATTTTATATTGAATCAAACTATGTTTCTATTAACTACTTTTTTCAATTCACCTATTTGAAATCTTCATTCCTATCCCTTCGTTTTCTCTGTTCCCCTTACAGCCTCCTTATACTTCCATCATTTAACGTTCATTTTAAGAATTGAAGTTTACCTATACAACTCATTAGAGAATATTCTCCACTGATGTGTGGAGTCCTAATTATAACTGGTTTGGTCGAAGGCGCACCATTGAAGTTGCCGCCGGAAAGTGGTTCCGGCGCCGCTCAAGAGAGGGCGCCGATTACCAACGCCGCTGCTCCGTCACGCTCGGAACCCGGAACCCGGCACGCTCGGAACCCAGGGCCCGGAACCACAGAACTCACCCTTATCGGGTGGGTGGCCGGCGGACCTTCAGCCCTAGCGGGCTATAAGAGCGGGGCCCGGCGGGTGGCCGGCGGAGTGTGTGAAGTGCCGGCCTGGAGTGCGTTATAGTGTCTAGTGAAGCGGAACAGGTTACGAACTTGGACATTTCTTGCGGTTAATCAGTGAACATTGCGACGTCCCCGGTACATCTCCTGGAGTATTGTTTAACCTGGCTTTGTTATTAGTGAATCTCTTGTTGGCTTATGGAAATACAAATCTGTTTTTATAAATCACTGTTCTTGTTTTGGATATAACAATAACTATTTATCACTGAAGACTGAATATGTTGATAAATTATTCTGCTTTAATGATGTGAATAATTTACGTAATCCTGTGTAACAAAAATCTTATATACCCCCATATGCCTCCTAATCCGAATTTAAATTTACTCTACTTATAATAATAAAGGCTTTCTAATAAGAATTATTTCTGCTTACGTAATTTCATATTAACTTGCGTTTAAAATTTTAATCATTTTATTAATTTAGTTTTTAAGTATTCTGTTTTTATTTAAAATATTGTAGCTATTATTTGCCTGATGATATAGACACAAAGCACACCGAAACGATGTATTTCCAAGACTTTGTGAAATACATTGTGTTTAAGAACTGTTAATTTTATTTCAAATGAACTAATTGTCTGTATTAAAGTAGAACCTGTTTCATAGAACTTATCATATACAATCAATAGCACGGTTAATAAGAGTTATAATAATATTGCGGAGTTTTTAAAATCATTGCGAGAAAGTACGTGCAGTGTTATGGCCACTAGTTTTCATCTAAAATATTCTTAAATTCATGTTTCAATTCTCCTGTTAGGGGATCGAACATTGAGAAAAGTTTTTTAAAAATCTTATATAAACCATCGATGTCCACTGGAAGAGGATGGACAATTGCCGAAACGGTAGCCAAGACTAAAGAATTTCGGTAACTAAATAGCACGAGAAAGTCTGTGCGTTTCCGCTGGAACATTAGTTAGTAGTTACGTAAATTTTAAAAGAATCCTAAAATTTAGGTTCAAAGTTTTTGTGAAAGCGCCCTTTTGAATGATCACATCCCTTTTTCGAATTTCGATGAACCGAATTTCGATGATTTCGATTGATATACAAAATTTGAAACTCCCGTGTCTGTTATCAGATGTGTTAAAAAAGAATCGCTAGTAATACGCTTCATAATCTCTATATAATACTCGTTATACGAAAAATACAACTTTATAGTTAGCTGTAATTTGTGTAAACCAAAGGAATCCTGACTTTTCGTTGACACGAAGCATGACAGTTTTGATATGCAAGTTGGGAAGAAGAATACGGTACAGAGCAAAGTTCATCAAACTTAATTTCATACAATAAGCTATTGCAATATGATGGATTAAATAAAAGAATTTTAATGCCAGACAGTTCCTTCATGGTGTCAAGATCAACACGAGAATTATTGTCGCTTCTCAGAATAGAACGTCTTTCCACCCAATCGTGTTGTTCCACGTGCGGATTATTTAAGTTATTTCTGATCATTCGCGACATGTGACGTGGCGGCCATAATTTTTTTTCTATAATTTACTACTGGCGAGAATCAGAAAAGCTCTGTGCAGGAATGAAGAAGATGGCGACTTCTCTCCAGTACCACTGTAAGTATTATTTATTTCATACGATGTCGAATTTTGTTTGTTGTATATGTCCCTCACAGCAGGCCGAAAGTGGAGGAACTACGGTACAGTGTCCGTAATGGAATCTTCAACTAAATTATGAAGTTGGAAATAGGGTACTAATGTTTCTGATTTGTTTTATAAATACAGGGCTGGCACGACGTGCAGTTGATTTATAATAAAGCAGCGCGGATACACGGAATGGGGAGGCAGAGAGGGCCTTTTTCAGTTACTATTAATTTTAATCTCACGAACTTTAAGTAAGATTACTTTAATGTATGACATTTGGCGTTTCAACTTGGCAGTTGAATTTTTCGAATTACGTGTTACTGTTGGGACGTGATGTATATAATAATGAAACAGTTACAGCGCTCAAAATTTGTGTCAATATTTGCTTGAAAATATTAATTTCCTCACAATATCCTTCGATTTGTAAAGAGTTTTTTTTTTAAATGACAGATGTTTAATTCGTGAGAATGGGGTTAATTAATGTGGCAATTAAATAAAAAATTCTGAAGGCGAAAAAGTACTCGCTATCCCCGACATTTTGTGAATTTGTTGCGTCTATATCGATGCACGCGTCTGCAAACTCCGACAAGGGTTTTGAGAGCACTGGGTAATCTCCGTTCATTAGCGCCTGTAGGGGCGTGTAATTGAAGTCACGTCAGTATGTAAGTGAAGGAATCGCCGACATGGAGGGTCTTTGCGCTCACGTCTCGCACGCCCTCTGCGCTCAACTTCCTATGGACGAGGATTTTGAAGGAATAAGATTAGGGTAAGGTTTAGATCGCTTCACAGGGGTTGAACGCACGCAAATGGTTTGTCGGAACATAATTTGTCATGGGGATTCTACGAAAATCGAACCTCAGTGGTGAAAAGTCAAGCGACTTCGCTCTGAGCCAGAGAGCGTAACAAAAGCAGATAGAGCAGAAACGAGGGAGTGAAGAGTCGCCATAGTGCGGAAGCAATTCAAAAGTGAGCAAAAAGCACCCCGAAGTTTCTTTTCCTGCCACAGTGCTGGCTTGTGCTGGCGTTTGGATCTGCGGCCACGACGGCAGGAGAACTATGCGACTTTGATTCAGCATGATTCTGAAGGTTGAGTTTATAACATTTCGATTACTCATGTACTAGCAGTGTTACATCACATGTCTGCAAAACTATTAGATACAGTTCTTTCACACAATATATCACGACGAGTCTGTTTTTTGGATTGTTTATCAAAAGTCTTATTGACACATTAATATTGGTTCAGTCGTACATGAAGAGAGGAGGTTATGAAATGCATACGGATCAATTCCTCTCTTTACCTAAAAATATAATTCATTTAACAATATGATTATATCTGTACCTACATTCGCTTAGGCAGTATTTATTACTGTTATTTAATATATTCATTCTCTTATTTAGTTTGTGATGAATCTCTCTGTCTTAGGAAAACGAAATATATTATGTGAGACGACAGATTTGCCACAGGAGATTTCAATCTATGAAAATTTACACGAGCATTTTTTATTACCTAAATTTGAATTACTTGATAAAAAAGAAGTTACATTGCCATTAACTTCAATCAGCCATTTTCTCCAAACACAGGATTATGGGATGAGGCCACATTGCGCTGACACCCTCATATATTATAATACAGTATTATACTGAGTTTTATTCATGCATTCTCATACTTTCATTTTTTTCAAAAAATATTGTGAACATAGTTTTTGGTCGTTTTACGCCAGACTGCAGGTTCACGAAATGTTAGTCACGGTGACTTTTTTGAATCCGCACGTTTTGAAGCAGTAAAAAATGTCTTCTTTGAAAGATCTGTTAAAGAAAATAGTTTTACACGAACAGTGCCTAAAAGTTACATTTTGGACTCATTGCTTTCTTAGATAAACAAGTAATGCTGAAAAACACGCGATTTAATGCCATCGGCGGGACCCACGAAACGCTGTTTCGTGAGAAGCAGATACTTTCAGAATTTGAATATAAAAACGCTAGGAAATTTGTAATCGAAAGAATCTCTTTGATTATAATCTACATATATTCCTTGCATATCTATCTAGATGGACAGTACAATATAAAATGCTTTAATATTACTCTCAAATAGGAAATAGCAGGTGATGGATGGTGCGAATATTTAGAATTTAGTAGCTACCATTATGTCTACGTTTTTGCTAAGTACAAAAACTATAGATAAAATTTTACCGGAAGCTGTCTTTAGCGTTTTTTGTATAAATCATTTTAATTGGCTAGGAAATTCTGCCTCGAATCTACAAACAATATTTTGTCCTTTCTTAGATTTCCTTGTTTCTTATATATTTTTTGTTCCTAATTATAAAAGATCAAAACTTTAAAAATCAGTCAAATTTGTACTAACTTTTTCTTCGTAATACTTGAATTATCCCTTTGTAGGCAATGGTACATACACACACAACACATAATATATATATAGTATATATATATATTATATATATATATATATAATATAATATATATATATATATATATATGTCCAATGAATTTGAGAACTTCAAATAACTCAAAAAAAAGAAAAAAAAACAAAAAAGAACGGGTATGATACGAAAAATTGAGCCGAGACCAAATCTTTAACAGTTTTGAAGGGAATCATTCTATGCTAAAAATCAGAAACCCTCCTGCCCCAGTGGGTCGGGCGTGGGCAACATTGAAATGTTGAATAGGAACCCCCATTTTTTATTTCAAATTCGGATTCTACGGAATAAAGTTTTGCCTGAAACGTTTTTTTCTGATTTGTGATAAGTCGTGCTGCAATCAAAAATTTGAATTTCCGAAGATTTGCAGCGATGTAATTGGATGGCGTTTGAGCGTGGACGACTACTTCTGACGTGTTAATAATAAACAGCATTTTCTACGGAAGTCAATAAAACTACTTTTAGAGTAACCCAGGCGATCAACGACGTGGAGTGTAGTTTTCTGTTTCAGTGGACGGAAGCTTGTTTTCAGTGAGCTCCCTTGCTCTCATTTTTCGGAGTGCTGGGTTTTTGATGAGTCTACAAATACCTCAGCATTCATTTAAGTAAGTGCTTGAAATGATGGCCTTGACCCTCAATGCATTTATAGATTTACCCTACCAAATGAAGAAACACATCGCATTAGAATCCTTGTGGTTATCGCGTCTTAACTAATGTACAAGTCGGTTTTCAATAGTTTCCTATGCGCTGGCCCAATTCGAAGTACGGTTGTGTATCGAAGAATTTTAGTATTTCGATAGGCCAGTTACGTCGAGGCAAACATATCGACGAGGTAGGGAACCAGAGAGTATATATCAAGAGACGCAGTCAATGTAAACGGAAAGCCATTATTTTCGGGAGGGAGAAATATCGAATCTCCCCACCCACGAAAACAACGAAATGAAGAAAAGA